TGCCCTCTTGTTCTCCCTTAAGACTGGCCAAAATGATGCCAGATAAATGACTCCTGTCAAGGAGAGGGTGGTGTTGGGGCGCCTGGGTGGCTCCGTCAGGTGAGCGTCTGACTTGATTCCAGCTCAGGTCATGATCTCATGGTTTGTGAGCTCAAGCCCTGCATTGGGCTCTGCGCTGGCAGCACGGAGCCTGCCGGGGTTTCTCTCTCTCCCTCTCCTTCTACCCTTCTTCCCTCTCTCTCTCTCACACAGAATAAATAAATAAGACATTTATTTACTTATTTTAATTTTTTATGTCTTTATTTTATCTTGAGAGGCAGAGTGCAAGCGGGGGCAGGGGCAGAGAGAGAGAGGGAGACACAGAATCTGAAGCAGGCTCCAGGCTCCAAGCTGTTGGCACAGAGTCTGATGCGGGGCTCGAACTCATGGACCGTGAGATCACAAACTGAACCGAAGTCCAACGCCCAACCGACTGAGCCACCCAAGCACCCCTAAAACATTGTTTTAAAAAGGAGAGCGTGGTATTAAAGAGGGATAGAGCCCCTTCCTGATTCTAAAGAGTCCCCGGCTCTGCCCTTGCAGCAGGGCTTCCTGGACCTTGGTTGGGGGGTGGGTGGGAGTGTGAAAGTGCAGGGGGGCAGCTCTCAGAAGTGCATCTCTAGAACCCATCCTGGGTGGTTGGCTGCAGACTGCTTTGCTTAGCATGGCCCCCTGGAAGGAGGTACAGGATCTTCCAAATGGTCGTAGCCTTGGAGGGCATGACCCAACCCCTTGGATCTGGTTATGCCTCCTTGAGTCAGACGGCCCAGGGCCTATGACCACTGTGACTCTGGCACTTTGACCAAGCCTATGCCCTCCTCTCTCTGCAGAGGGATGATATGGAGGCCGTGCCAGGGTACCTGTCTCTACACCAGACAGCTGACGTCATGACCTTGAAATGGACGCCTAACCAGCTGATGAACGGGTCGATGGGGGACCTGGACTATGAGAAGAGGTAGGGCGCCGGGTCCTTCTCCCCCTTTGGCACAGGGAAGTGTGTGCTCTGTCCTTTGTGTCCTGCCCCGGCCCGCTGTTCTGTCTGGTTGTTGCGGCCACTTGGGCCACCCCCCCTGCAGCTATGGCCTTATGGGTAACTCAGTAGGAGGATCTGGAGACCAACTAGAAGAATCTTAGAATGTAATACGGGAATTAGGCAGGCCCTGGTCAAACACCACCCAGAGGGAGAAATCTTAACTAAGAGCTTGGGAGCCTGCAAATGGCAAATATTCCCCATCTGCTGCTGTCCTTCCCATCACTCCGTAAAGGAGGAAAGCTGGAGGTGTTGCTTGGTGGCCATCTGGTCCAGGGTTGTGTCTCCTGTGACCTTGGGATTTTCAAGACTCAGCAAAGGCTTTGGAGTCACACGCCGAAGACACACGGAAACCAAGGGTCCCCTGCTACAATCGTGTGTGTTCCCGCACAATTAGGGACAGCCCTAGGAGGAGCCCAAACAAAGGGAAGGCTCAACCTGATTATTTCAGCTTGAGGAGTCTTGGCAGCTTTATATAAAATAAGGACTCCTTTCAAGGAACATAACCAGAACACTGTTCTTGTGTTCTGTTTCATGTTAAGCTTCAGTGTGAGTAACACGAGGCCTGGGTGTGATTAATACCATTCTCTAAGCCACTTCCTGTGCAGAGGTGGCCATCTGTCTTCAGAGACGGTCAGTGGGAGGTAGAGTTGGTTCTAGGCTGAGCCGTATAATTCAGCTCTAGCTAGACTCCAGAGTTTCTGATCAAGAAGCCCTCACCGAGGAACAGCATGGGGCCCAGGAGATGCCCTTGGCCTGGGGCATTATTTCAATGGACTTGTCTTAAACCTCAGGCCTTCCGCAACCCCTCCCAGCTGAATCTGGATCACATGGAACCCTGAACCTCCTTTAAAGCATTTATAGAATCGCAGACATGTAATAAATCTGTGCCTATTTGTATATCAGCTGTTGCTTCTAGACCTCAGTTCCGTGAAGGCAGGGCACCTGTCTTACTCATGTCTTCTCTTTGGCAACTGCCACAGATCCTAGTACAAAGTAGGTGCTTAGATAATCTCTGTGAAGCAAAGCAGGGAAGTTACCAGATTCAGTCATCAGATCTGAACAGAGCACCCGCTACATTCCAGGCACTGTGCTAGATACAAGAAACCTAGCAGATGAACAGAAGGAGAGGAAAATCTTTACCCTCTCGGAGCTTCCACTGTATTTACCTTACACTGAAGGAGACCACAATAAAACAGGTGTATGGATAAGTGTACGTTTTAGGCCCAAGTGCTTGCTTGGTTCTCATCCTGCTGGAAGATTTGGGGTGTGTCTGTCTCTCCCTGTCTCTGGGCTTCTATCAAATGAGAGGCCTGCACAACATGATCTTCCCAGAACTCAAAGGGTTTGCAGGGGCTCTCCATACACAGAAGTGTCATCTGTCAAATAGCACAACCCAAAGGCCCTGTTTGCTATTTGGACTTACACCCAGGATTGTGTGGGCAGAAACCTTTTTGTTTTTAATTTTTTTTAACTTTTATTCATTTTTAAGATACAGAGAGAGACAGAGTGTGAAGGGGAGGGGCAGAGCGAGGGAGACACAGAATCTAAAGCAGGCTCCAGGCCCTGAGCTGTCAGCCCAGAGCCCGATGCAGGGCTCAAACCCATGAACCATGAGATCATGACCTGAGCCGAAGTTGGAGGTTTAACTGACTGAGCCACCAAGGTGCCCCAACTTTGTTTTTAACTTTTTTTTTAATGTTTATTCATTTCTGAGAAACAGAGTGTGAACAGGGGAGGGGCCGAGAGAGAGGGAGACACAGAATCTGAAGCAGGCTCCAAGCCAATGCAGGGCTCGAACCCACGAACAGTGAGATCATGACCTGAGCCGAAGTTGGACGCTTAACCTGCTGAGCCACCCAGGCACCCCTGGGCAGAAAACTATTTTTTCTTTAATTTAAAAAAAAAATTTTTTTTACATTTATTTATTTTTAAATTTTTTTTTTTCAACGTTTATTTATTT